ACGGCACGTAGAAAAAGAAAACTGGACTTGAGTGAATAAATGGCGGAACAAAACAACAGATGTATCACATATATTAACTACTACAAACGACAGGAAGTAGTGGAGAATCATGATCGCCTACGTCCAGAGGGTTCACGGGATATAAAGGAAAAGAAAAATACCTTCTTTAGATCGTCACCGTAGAGTAGCTGTAATAATTTATTTTGGTTTTGTTTGTTAACGGCATATCAACACTTTATGGGTCAATTTAATTTTCTTGGAAGCTTTGGTAATTTTCTTTGCAAAAATATAATTTTTCTCTCCCTTTTCCAATAATGTATTGTTGGTTTTATTTTTTTACTATGAAACTATAGCTTTATGTATGTGTTTTTTGATTTCTATGTTTTGACCCCATTTTGGGGGTTCCCTATTTGCTCATCGCTGGAACCCACGGGTCAGGGTTGAACCTTGGAACAACAGTAATTAAGAGGTGTTTCTACGCTCCTCAAAACCTCCCAAACGGAGGCCTTGCTGCTGGATGTAGTTTATCGTCATACCCAGGACGAATAATTTAGTAAAGGCGAAATAGAGAACTCGGTTAGATTTTATTAATATACGTTTCTAGCATGGCTTCTCAAATAATTTACGCTGTCAATCGTTTTTAACAAAATTTAGTTTCCGTTAGATATGACCAAAAAAAAGTACTTAATATTTTTTATATGAGAAAAGAACCCTTAAATTATCAAAGCAAACACTTTTTTAATACTTGGGTTAAATATTCAAATATTTGACAAGGTAGGCCCGGAGAATTTCACGAATATTCGGTTTTTGAATTTGAATCTAGAGATTCTTGATAAAATCCAAAGAAGGGTCCGTCACATTATCGATCCGGACCTGGCATCTCAACATCAGTCACTTTACCGCCGCCATGACCTGGCTTACTTCCGTCTTTTCTATAAATATTTTCATGGCGATTATTCTAATGGACCCTCTTCCTTGGCACTCCGACCGCATGAATTTAAACGTTCTACTAGATTGGCAGTTAGGTCTCATCGTTTTACTGTTGAACTAGCTCGATGTAACCGTAAGTTCTATTCTAATAGTTTATTCTCTCGCACTTCTCGTCTGTGGAACTCTCTTCCAGTTTCTTTCTTTCTTTCTTTCTTCTTCTTTTCCTTCTTCTTTCCATACCCATTCAGAGAGCTTGGGTCCTGGGTCTCCATTATTTCCTGTCGTTTGTTGATCTTAGTGAATTTCTGTGAGTATCAAATTTCCCAAGCCCTCCTACCTCATAATGTGCCCCAGAAATTTCAACTATCTCTTTCGGATGTTAAATATTAGTTTCTTTTTTTGTATCCATTTTCTCTAAAATTTAGTCCTTGCTCATATTCTCCATGGTATTCTCAGCATCCTTCTGTAGAACCAACTTTCCCTGCCATCCAGCATCTTCAAAAATTTAAATCAACGTCAGTCGCCCTCTTCTTCCTGAACCCTGTTCTTTTATTGTGCTTTCTCCTC